GCGATAGCCAAGTGCGACTCTAACTTCTTGAGTGCTTAGCAACCTTCCGTGTGCATCCATAACTCAATAGTGCACGCTATGGCGTTTACCATTTGTTAAATTTATGCCTTTGCAATGCAGTCACTGTGTATAGTGATTATACACGGTGACTGTGTCGCAAAGGCATATACATTGTATATCACTTTGAGGTAAATGTACCCATTCACCATTCACCATTCACTTGACTTTTCACCATAGATGAATTTTTGCCGTTAAAACATGCTAACATCAGTGGATGGTGTTTGATGTCACAATATGCTTAGCAATAGGCCATTTCCACGTAGCCTTTCGCCTCTGTACCAAAACAAGTCTTGATGCGAAACCAATCAATCCATACCAAAATGTGACCCACCTACACATAAATTTTCATGCAAATCAACCTCATTTTCATATAAAAGGTTTTGCACAAGGACTCATTTTGAAACAGAGGCACAAGGTAACTCGGAAATAGCCTAGTATTCTTTGTGAGATACAAAGTACACGTAGCCTTCAAATAAAATTGAAACCTTACTGGGGTAAACGAGCACTTCAGACACACTCTAAGAAACAGTCATTATCAATGGTGGCTAAGATTGAGGAAATATTGTTTGCAGAAACAAACGGCTTCCTTTGTTTTGGCTTTAAGAAAAGAAAGCTGCCACAAAAGTCCAGGCTTTTTGCATACATCACTTCTTGAAAACAAAGCACAACCCAGGAAAAAAAACCTCAGAGCAATGTTTCTCAAGTAAAACAAAGTCAATATGCCAAAATTCAGTTACCTTTGAACTCTACCAAAAATGGCCAAAAAAAATCTAGTGAGCGTTCTTGCCCATGGCCTTTCAATTGAGATGGATAAAGAGAGTCAAGGAAATCATCAATATCTGTCATTTCATTATCTTACCATCAGAACATATCCAATTGCTACTTTTGAATAGCTTGTTTGAGAAAACTCCTTCAAAAGATCATTGAATGATGTGGAGGAGAATGCCAACACTGTTGAATCTTCTTTGCTTTGATCAACTGAGTTAATGATCTGCAAGAGGAATTGTCACTTTAAGAGCAGAGCAACAGTAGATAATTAAAACAAGTTATGACTTTGAGACTATTGTATTTGTTATATTAAACTCTTCAGGTCTCCACAGCGACAAGTCTAATTTAGGACTTTGCCTTTGTTCCTGCAGTGATAAGACTCTTCTGTCTACTCCAGCGGCAAACTGCACTACACCTGGGACTAAAGATTCGCCCATTTCAGTCCACGCTTATAAAACAAGCGCTACCTTAGATTTTTATCCAAAAAGGGATAGGAGCCATGCTGTTTAAGAAAATTTCAAATGGTTATGACATTAATTTCAACAGTTCTAATAGATCTTAGTTTTTTGCATAATGTTTTAAACACATTTCAATGATCAATAATTTTTAAGATCTTTGCTGTAGTAAGCTAGTTAATTTAATTTAAAGTGTTTTGATGTCTAATGTTACATATATCATTAGCACTATACATAATTACATGTCATTGTTATCATTATCATTCATCTTACCTTGGTGAACTTGCGCTTCCATGCCTCTAAAACTTGCGTTGCTTCATCTTCAGTCCACTCCATGTGGTTCACTTTTGCTTGGTTATACCAATGAGTATAGAGCTGCTGCCTCCCCATCAACATGATTATGCTCTGATATGCATCAGCCCTAGACAACGTACATAAAAGAAAACAAAACACAAATTAAATCGAATACTGGCTAACAGACACTATCCTCTTAGTAAGCAGATATGATTTTTGGTTCACTGCCATTTGATTTGATTTGTCATTGCAGGGTTGAAAATACAGTTGAACCTTTATTAAATGGCCACCCCTATTAGGTGGCCAGTAATCAACGTCTCAATGAGGGCTTTTCTGTTGTTTTAACCTCTATTAAACAGCCAGCCCCTTTTGAGCGGCCACTATTAATTTCCCTGAGGGTGGCCATTTAATAGGGGGTGAACTGTAGCCCTCATCTACATGTAGAAGCACAACCACGAGAAAGCTCGTCTGCTAAGAACAGAAACTCACTTTAGCTAATAGATAACAGGGGGAATGCCATAAATCATGCCTGTACTTAAGACCTTCCCACTTGTCGATGCCTTCCGTACCCAAGCCAATAGAGTTACTTATTATCGACTTTGTTAGATTTACACTCAAATAAGATTCCGACCTACAATAAATCTGTTATCTAAACTGCATCAATCTTATTTTCACCCTGTCATGAACTGCAAATCTTCAGGTTTATCAACATTGCACCACTGTCATGACAGAAGTGTGTCATTACTTTGATTAGTTTTCTCCATCCAACAAGTAGATTATCCATTATGTCCAGAAACAAACCTCACCTTCTAATAATATTGCTTCTGTTCTTGACAGTTCCTCCCACAATAAGTTCTTCCGGCCAGTCCATATATTTGGTAGCAAACCCCTTGCAGCCACCCGTCAATTCCACACCTATGTCGGGTTTCTGCAAAAAAGGAAAAAAGAGATTTATATGCACTGCAGACAACCTCTTGAAGTCTTTACTTCCCATTTCTCATTCCTTTTACCTCCTACATTTCCTCTAGTGGTTCCTACTGCTTTGAGATTTTTCTACAAGAAAGTAATTACTACCCAATGTTGAAAAACATTCACTCTCTGGTTTCTGCCACCTTGAGATTTCCACTCTCAACTATCTCTTCTTCCAGCTTCTGAAGGATTCACGTACCCCTCTGCACAATTCACACCAGTGCAGGGTTTCTCTTCACCGATTCTGTTGGTGGCCAAGATTGCCATACCCTTCTAAGACAAATGTTTGACTGGCTCCTTGAAGAGAACTGGCATAATTACCTTCTTGGTCTTGTAATTTGGTGCAGTTGTTGGACAGTCAGGGTCATATGGATCAAGACAAGGTTTCATCACATAGCCGCTGTTGATTCCAGCCTTAAAATCAATCAATAATTAAGAAATAGATCATTGACAAAAAAGTATGAAGATCATTCTTATAATCTACAGTGTGAGACAGCGTGGCCGAGCGGTCGAGTGGTCAGGGTGCCGGTCTTTAAACCGGAGGACATGGCCACTTAGCTGGAGTTGTTTCTCTGTAGACCCTAGTTTAACTCCTCAGTCATGCTTGTAAATGACAAACTGGTCTGCCTCCTGCCAGTTGGGATTTTCAAGCCTATTATGTTTACTTGATATATTTGTTTCTCTCAGTTTAAATGGCATGCCTGTGAACTACCTAGGTGTAGCTAAGTGCATTGACCACTATAAACAACAACATTTGAACATTCATTTCAACACATGACAACTAAGTAAGGGAGATATATATATACGAAAAGAACCCTTCATATGTACAGGTTTTAGTAACCTTGAACACATGCAACACAAATATGAGCCAAGAGCTGAACTGCAAGTTAGGGAAATGGTCACAGACAATGTAAACAATTTATTTACCTCATTCAGAAGTCCCATCAGTTTCTCATAATCTCTTGGAAGCATATACTGCTCCATTAATTGTACTTTTTCCTTCGGATTCATGCTTATCCATTTCAAATTGCCAATAGGATCATCATGATCATCCGACCTAAAACATGAAAGATATTACATTGGCCAGAACTGTATAGAAAAGTGGTACAACCAAAATACAGTTTGCAGTCAGATATTCAGTGACTCCAAGCCAGTAAAGATGTGTCAGTACTGTATGCAACTACCTACATAACATTGTGTAGAAATGACATTTTAGGTGCTCATCTATAGGGCCCATTTGGCTAAAATTAATAAGAACTACTGTACACTACAGTGTATTGAAATTGCAGGCACTTAACAAGAGTTACCAATAATTAATTATTAAAATATTAAGTTATTCATAATTATTATTAATCAGTTGTGAACAATATTACATGGATGTCCAGTGTCTTTTTTAAAATTAGAAGAAGGAAAACTGCACTGTCCAACTTCTGCTAACTGCATGTAAAATTTTCATCTCACGTCAACAAATTACAACACATTGCGTACCCAAAGGTTACTTTGTTGTGTGGTCCGAGTGGCTTTGCTCCTTCCCAGAAGCAATCCAAAGGACTTATCATGACACACGGCATAAGTTGCGGAAGGACCTACAATATAATAGAGAGATTTAGCCAAGCCTACAAGGGAAGCTCCAGCGGGGTAATTCAAAGCCTGATTGAGCTAACCCAGGATGAGCAAGAAATTTGATTTGAGTTCTGTAGCTTTGCGGAGAGGTTCTCTGTTTGTATTGTTTGGCTTTCTCTTTTGAGTTTGAATAACCTCAAACTGCACAAAACATAAGCTCATTGAACTTGTTAACTTTTAATCCTGGGTTAGCCTTAACCGGTTCTGATTACAACAAAATAGCCTCGGTTGAGCCCACGATCCAATCAAAACCCACTACTTGGTCAGCAGTCAACTTCAAAAAAACACTTGACCTCGATGAGCAATAAACTTGAGCCCCTTTGGGCCACCAGAACTTTGCGAACAACATGAATGATCCAGTCCATTGTCAAAAAAATACCAGTCTACTTGTACACAGTACCTAAGAAATATGCCAGTCAATAGATTTTGATGGTAAAACATTTAGACACATGCTGTTGAACATTTTAATTTGGCTCTCAAAACATTAATAATTATGTTTTTTGAATCAGGAATTCGACATGAATTTGAATTCTTCTGAACTTACGGTATCCAACCCAATATTATCATCCATAGGAGGAAGATCGAGAGTGTAGCAAATATCCTTTAATGTCCAGGTTCTGCAGGAAACAAAACAACACCAGTACATATTATTTATATCAATGTGCCATGGAAAATACAGCCAATCAGAATAGGGGAAAGCCATTGTATATTTGATGGTATTATACCCAAACTTCCCATCAAGCACCATGAGCATGTCCCCTTGATTCTGTTGGCCACGCTATTTTATATGGCATGGTATAAAATTAATAGAAAGGTGAGTGTGTATACCAAGAAAATAAAACTGACAAGTGGGATATTCCATGGTATGCCGCTCAAAAGTGTTGCATAACTAGTGTATACACATACATCTATAAAGGTCGCAATGACCAATAATTGTTCATTGCGACTGATTTACAAACCCAAGTTTGCTAATAGGGCATGACTGATGAACACAATTGTTTATGTTTCCATAACGTTTTGCACCATGACTTTGTTTTGTTTATATAATAGGAGCAAACTTGCGAGCAAAACTCTAAAATAGGCATGGACATAACCCCAACAAAACAAACCGTATGTTCTTGCTAGACTAAACACATAAGGGAAAAGATAAATTGTTTGAGAAACAAAACTGACACAAAGCCTGTATAATACACTAACAGTACAACAGTATCAGAGGGAGTTTTTTTTCTTTTCAGGTCAAAGTTGTGGGGATATTGAGATAACAAAGTTCAAGACATGAAGGAGATATGACAATTTTTTTGTTTTTTTCAATTTGTGGAAACAATTTGGGAGGTCTGTTAAGTCATGAAAAACTGAAAAACTTTCTAACAGCTGCAGCTTGTCTCGAATGACCTGCATAAAATAACAACTCGCAGCTGGTTGACACATGCCCACACATAAATATCCTGTTTATGAAATACAAACCATGTTCAACATATGCCACATAAACAAATTGACTTACTGGTCAAACAAATCTACGGAGACATTTGTGACTTTCATTAAAATGTCCAAGTGCCGCTTCAAGGCTTGTACAGTAAGAATATTTGTTCCTTCTTCATTGGGTGTTTGTATCAGTAGCTCGTTTGTGCCGCCGTAACCTTCTCCAAGCGCTTTTTTGGTATATTCTAGCTCTTTTTCCAGTCGTCCATCCACTAAAATCATGAACAACAGACAGGTTGAAACATTCTGCACTTGCATATAACAACCAAGTTGTATTTATCATCCACATACATGTACACAGACACATGTGCAGGGCTGTAGCTAGTAACAGGTATATGTAAACGTTTACTGAGGCTCTTGTCTCTGTCACTGTTTGCATTTTTCTAGTTTATAGTCATCATAAACACCCTAGTATTAATACCAAGCAAGAGATTTAACCATGGACAATGCCTTGCAGTCATAATTTCTTTCCTGGTCACAGCCCTGCCTGAATAAACAAGATGGTAAAGATGGTACTGCAGATTGTAAACCCAGTGAATAGATATGAGTCCTTTAAGAAGAAGGGATTACTTCTTAACAAAAGTGTGGATGATCAGGCTACAATGCCACAATTACAGTGCTCTCAGTAACAATTCTTTTGTAGGAATCTCATCAGGGAGACAAATCTGATTCCCATCTCACACCATTTTGCTAGAGTATATAGTCGTTATAAGTAAAAGCTGATGTCGAACCAAACCAAACATTGGATTTTGCCACTTTAATGTTTAAAAGAATAACAACTTTATGTGGTCTGCCACTTTTGGACCTCTTTGAGACCTATCGTCATGTAAAATTGGCAACCTACCAACTTAGATCACTTCAACGTCAAATCTGACATTTTGTTAACTAGATAAACTCTAGAGTTCATAACCGAAGCTGGAGATTATAAATTTGCAAAATTAACTGTCACTCAGATCAAAGTAGCTGACACTGCAAGTATCTGCCCACCTGCTGAGTAGATATCAAGCGTAAATCTGAGGAGACTGTGCTAACAAGTAGTTAACTCCCTTATCCACTCTGACATGGGCCAATAAGTTTCTAAGTGTGGTCACTTTTCTGCTAATGCAGTGCTACAGAATCTTTAGTTACTAATCTCATGATCCGTTTAAGGTACTCGGAAATGTATTGGAAACCTCGGAGTGACTTAATTACCCTAAAGTTTACTCTAACAAACCAACACAAGCAAAAGAAACTGTGTGAGGTCAGCCAGGTCGACTCTATGAAACCACTGGACAATTTTACATCATTTGTGGTCTGTTTGATATCTCCTTGAAATTGAAGACAGCACTTCTCTGAATTTAATATGTTCTTACAATCACTAATGATGCATTAGGCTGGTGCGACCATAGTTAATAGAGGTGAAGGGTTACAAAGCCCAGCAAACATCAAAGGAGCAAACAAATATGCCAAGATTTATGTTGGAAGATCCATGACTGTGCACAATCTTTTGTTTTACGTTCATACACTATGCATGAGTTATGTAATCAAAACATTTCTATTGGTTAGTTCCTCGGTTAGTAGTACACAACTGTTGGGTTTTGTGCAGTGAAGGCCAAAAAAGAGAGCAGAAACATACAACAAAGAACTCTGTCAAGTTTCATGACCATTCCCCTCTATTAACTATGGTGCGACCAGGAAAAAGGTGCTCATTATAAACAGGAATTGATCTACATTCAAATTATTTGCTTCATGTGTAATTGGACAAATCTCATCTTTGTTCCAAGAAATTGCTGATTTATCCAGTCATCTGTTACATNAGCCTTCAAATAAAATTGAAACCTTACTGGGGTAAACGAGCACTTCAGACACACTCTAAGAAACAGTCATTATCAATGGTGGCTAAGATTGAGGAAATATTGTTTGCAGAAACAAACGGCTTCCTTTGTTTTGGCTTTAAGAAAAGAAAGCTGCCACAAAAGTCCAGGCTTTTTGCATACATCACTTCTTGAAAACAAAGCACAACCCAGGAAAAAAAACCTCAGAGCAATGTTTCTCAAGTAAAACAAAGTCAATATGCCAAAATTCAGTTACCTTTGAACTCTACCAAAAATGGCCAAAAAAAATCTAGTGAGCGTTCTTGCCCATGGCCTTTCAATTGAGATGGATAAAGAGAGTCAAGGAAATCATCAATATCTGTCATTTCATTATCTTACCATCAGAACATATCCAATTGCTACTTTTGAATAGCTTGTTTGAGAAAACTCCTTCAAAAGATCATTGAATGATGTGGAGGAGAATGCCAACACTGTTGAATCTTCTTTGCTTTGATCAACTGAGTTAATGATCTGCAAGAGGAATTGTCACTTTAAGAGCAGAGCAACAGTAGATAATTAAAACAAGTTATGACTTTGAGACTATTGTATTTGTTATATTAAACTCTTCAGGTCTCCACAGCGACAAGTCTAATTTAGGACTTTGCCTTTGTTCCTGCAGTGATAAGACTCTTCTGTCTACTCCAGCGGCAAACTGCACTACACCTGGGACTAAAGATTCGCCCATTTCAGTCCACGCTTATAAAACAAGCGCTACCTTAGATTTTTATCCAAAAAGGGATAGGAGCCATGCTGTTTAAGAAAATTTCAAATGGTTATGACATTAATTTCAACAGTTCTAATAGATCTTAGTTTTTTGCATAATGTTTTAAACACATTTCAATGATCAATCATTTTTAAGATCTTTGCTGTAGTAAGTTAGTTAATTTAATTTAAAGTGTTTTGATGTCTAATGTTACATATATCATTAGCACTATACATAATTACATGTCATTGTTATCATTATCATTCATCTTACCTTGGTGAACTTGCGCTTCCATGCCTCTAAAACTTGCGTTGCTTCATCTTCAGTCCACTCCATGTGGTTCACTTTTGCTTGGTTATACCAATGAGTATAGAGCTGCTGCCTCCCCATCAACATGATTATGCTCTGATATGCATCAGCCCTAGACAACGTACATAAAAGAAAACAAAACACAAATTAAATCGAATACTGGCTAACAGACACTATCCTCTTAGTAAGCAGATATGATTTTTGGTTCACTGCCATTTGATTTGATTTGTCATTGCAGGGTTGAAAATACAGTTGAACCTTTATTAAATGGCCACCCCTATTAGGTGGCCAGTAATCAACGTCTCAATGAGGGCTTTTCTGTTGTTTTAACCTCTATTAAACAGCCAGCCCCTTTTGAGCGGCCACTATTAATTTCCCTGAGGGTGGCCATTTAATAGGGGGTGAACTGTAGCCCTCATCTACATGTAGAAGCACAACCACGAGAAAGCTCGTCTGCTAAGAACAGAAACTCACTTTAGCTAATAGATAACAGGGGGAATGCCATAAATCATGCCTGTACTTAAGACCTTCCCACTTGTCGATGCCTTCCGTACCCAAGCCAATAGAGTTACTTATTATCGACTTTGTTAGATTTACACTCAAATAAGATTCCGACCTACAATAAATCTGTTATCTAAACTGCATCAATCTTATTTTCACCCTGTCATGAACTGCAAATCTTCAGGTTTATCAACATTGCACCACTGTCATGACAGAAGTGTGTCATTACTTTGATTAGTTTTCTCCATCCAACAAGTAGATTATCCATTATGTCCAGAAACAAACCTCACCTTCTAATAATATTGCTTCTGTTCTTGACAGTTCCTCCCACAATAAGTTCTTCCGGCCAGTCCATATATTTGGTAGCAAACCCCTTGCAGCCACCCGTCAATTCCACACCTATGTCGGGTTTCTGCAAAAAAGGAAAAAAGAGATTTATATGCACTGCAGACAACCTCTTGAAGTCTTTACTTCCCATTTCTCATTCCTTTTACCTCCTACATTTCCTCTAGTGGTTCCTACTGCTTTGAGATTTTTCTACAAGAAAGTAATTACTACCCAATGTTGAAAAACATTCACTCTCTGGTTTCTGCCACCTTGAGATTTCCACTCTCAACTATCTCTTCTTCCAGCTTCTGAAGGATTCACGTACCCCTCTGCACAATTCACACCAGTGCAGGGTTTCTCTTCACCGATTCTGTTGGTGGCCAAGATTGCCATACCCTTCTAAGACAAATGTTTGACTGGCTCCTTGAAGAGAACTGGCATAATTACCTTCTTGGTCTTGTAATTTGGTGCAGTTGTTGGACAGTCAGGGTCATATGGATCAAGACAAGGTTTCATCACATAGCCGCTGTTGATTCCAGCCTTAAAATCAATCAATAATTAAGAAATAGATCATTGACAAAAAAGTATGAAGATCATTCTTATAATCTACAGTGTGAGACAGCGTGGCCGAGCGGTCGAGTGGTCAGGGTGCCGGTCTTTAAACCGGAGGACATGGCCACTTAGCTGGAGTTGTTTCTCTGTAGACCCTAGTTTAACTCCTCAGTCATGCTTGTAAATGACAAACTGGTCTGCCTCCTGCCAGTTGGGATTTTCAAGCCTATTATGTTTACTTGATATATTTGTTTCTCTCAGTTTAAATGGCATGCCTGTGAACTACCTAGGTGTAGCTAAGTGCATTGACCACTATAAACAACAACATTTGAACATTCATTTCAACACATGACAACTAAGTAAGGGAGATATATATATACGAAAAGAACCCTTCATATGTACAGGTTTTAGTAACCTTGAACACATGCAACACAAATATGAGCCAAGAGCTGAACTGCAAGTTAGGGAAATGGTCACAGACAATGTAAACAATTTATTTACCTCATTCAGAAGTCCCATCAGTTTCTCATAATCTCTTGGAAGCATATACTGCTCCATTAATTGTACTTTTTCCTTCGGATTCATGCTTATCCATTTCAAATTGCCAATAGGATCATCATGATCATCCGACCTAAAACATGAAAGATATTACATTGGCCAGAACTGTATAGAAAAGTGGTACAACCAAAATACAGTTTGCAGTCAGATATTCAGTGACTCCAAGCCAGTAAAGATGTGTCAGTACTGTATGCAACTACCTACATAACATTGTGTAGAAATGACATTTTAGGTGCTCATCTATAGGGCCCATTTGGCTAAAATTAATAAGAACTACTGTACACTACAGTGTATTGAAATTGCAGGCACTTAACAAGAGTTACCAATAATTAATTATTAAAATATTAAGTTATTCATAATTATTATTAATCAGTTGTGAACAATATTACATGGATGTCCAGTGTCTTTTTTAAAATTAGAAGAAGGAAAACTGCACTGTCCAACTTCTGCTAACTGCATGTAAAATTTTCATCTCACGTCAACAAATTACAACACATTGCGTACCCAAAGGTTACTTTGTTGTGTGGTCCGAGTGGCTTTGCTCCTTCCCAGAAGCAATCCAAAGGACTTATCATGACACACGGCATAAGTTGCGGAAGGACCTACAATATAATAGAGAGATTTAGCCAAGCCTACAAGGGAAGCTCCAGCGGGGTAATTCAAAGCCTGATTGAGCTAACCCAGGATGAGCAAGAAATTTGATTTGAGTTCTGTAGCTTTGCGGAGAGGTTCTCTGTTTGTATTGTTTGGCTTTCTCTTTTGAGTTTGAATAACCTCAAACTGCACAAAACATAAGCTCATTGAACTTGTTAACTTTTAATCCTGGGTTAGCCTTAACCGGTTCTGATTACAACAAAATAGCCTCGGTTGAGCCCACGATCCAATCAAAACCCACTACTTGGTCAGCAGTCAACTTCAAAAAAACACTTGACCTCGATGAGCAATAAACTTGAGCCCCTTTGGGCCACCAGAACTTTGCGAACAACATGAATGATCCAGTCCATTGTCAAAAAAATACCAGTCTACTTGTACACAGTACCTAAGAAATATGCCAGTCAATAGATTTTGATGGTAAAACATTTAGACACATGCTGTTGAACATTTTAATTTGGCTCTCAAAACATTAATAATTATGTTTTTTGAATCAGGAATTCGACATGAATTTGAATTCTTCTGAACTTACGGTATCCAACCCAATATTATCATCCATAGGAGGAAGATCGAGAGTGTAGCAAATATCCTTTAATGTCCAGGTTCTGCAGGAAACAAAACAACACCAGTACATATTATTTATATCAATGTGCCATGGAAAATACAGCCAATCAGAATAGGGGAAAGCCATTGTATATTTGATGGTATTATACCCAAACTTCCCATCAAGCACCATGAGCATGTCCCCTTGATTCTGTTGGCCACGCTATTTTATATGGCATGGTATAAAATTAATAGAAAGGTGAGTGTGTATACCAAGAAAATAAAACTGACAAGTGGGATATTCCATGGTATGCCGCTCAAAAGTGTTGCATAACTAGTGTATACACATACATCTATAAAGGTCGCAATGACCAATAATTGTTCATTGCGACTGATTTACAAACCCAAGTTTGCTAATAGGGCATGACTGATGAACACAATTGTTTATGTTTCCATAACGTTTTGCACCATGACTTTGTTTTGTTTATATAATAGGAGCAAACTTGCGAGCAAAACTCTAAAATAGGCATGGACATAACCCCAACAAAACAAACCGTATGTTCTTGCTAGACTAAACACATAAGGGAAAAGATAAATTGTTTGAGAAACAAAACTGACACAAAGCCTGTATAATACACTAACAGTACAACAGTATCAGAGGGAGTTTTTTTTCTTTTCAGGTCAAAGTTGTGGGGATATTGAGATAACAAAGTTCAAGACATGAAGGAGATATGACAATTTTTTTGTTTTTTTCAATTTGTGGAAACAATTTGGGAGGTCTGTTAAGTCATGAAAAACTGAAAAACTTTCTAACAGCTGCAGCTTGTCTCGAATGACCTGCATAAAATAACAACTCGCAGCTGGTTGACACATGCCCACACATAAATATCCTGTTTATGAAATACAAACCATGTTCAACATATGCCACATAAACAAATTGACTTACTGGTCAAACAAATCTACGGAGACATTTGTGACTTTCATTAAAATGTCCAAGTGCCGCTTCAAGGCTTGTACAGTAAGAATATTTGTTCCTTCTTCATTGGGTGTTTGTATCAGTAGCTCGTTTGTGCCGCCGTAACCTTCTCCAAGCGCTTTTTTGGTATATTCTAGCTCTTTTTCCAGTCGTCCATCCACTAAAATCATGAACAACAGACAGGTTGAAACATTCTGCACTTGCATATAACAACCAAGTTGTATTTATCATCCACATACATGTACACAGACACATGTGCAGGGCTGTAGCTAGTAACAGGTATATGTAAACGTTTACTGAGGCTCTTGTCTCTGTCACTGTTTGCATTTTTCTAGTTTATAGTCATCATAAACACCCTAGTATTAATACCAAGCAAGAGATTTAACCATGGACAATGCCTTGCAGTCATAATTTCTTTCCTGGTCACAGCCCTGCCTGAATAAACAAGATGGTAAAGATGGTACTGCAGATTGTAAACCCAGTGAATAGATATGAGTCCTTTAAGAAGAAGGGATTACTTCTTAACAAAAGTGTGGATGATCAGGCTACAATGCCACAATTACAGTGCTCTCAGTAACAATTCTTTTGTAGGAATCTCATCAGGGAGACAAATCTGATTCCCATCTCACACCATTTTGCTAGAGTATATAGTCGTTATAAGTAAAAGCTGATGTCGAACCAAACCAAACATTGGATTTTGCCACTTTAATGTTTAAAAGAATAACAACTTTATGTGGTCTGCCACTTTTGGACCTCTTTGAGACCTATCGTCATGTAAAATTGGCAACCTACCAACTTAGATCACTTCAACGTCAAATCTGACATTTTGTTAACTAGATAAACTCTAGAGTTCATAACCGAAGCTGGAGATTATAAATTTGCAAAATTAACTGTCACTCAGATCAAAGTAGCTGACACTGCAAGTATCTGCCCACCTGCTGAGTAGATATCAAGCGTAAATCTGAGGAGACTGTGCTAACAAGTAGTTAACTCCCTTATCCACTCTGACATGGGCCAATAAGTTTCTAAGTGTGGTCACTTTTCTGCTAATGCAGTGCTACAGAATCTTTAGTTACTAATCTCATGATCCGTTTAAGGTACTCGGAAATGTATTGGAAACCTCGGAGTGACTTAATTACCCTAAAGTTTACTCTAACAAACCAACACAAGCAAAAGAAACTGTGTGAGGTCAGCCAGGTCGACTCTATGAAACCACTGGACAATTTTACATCATTTGTGGTCTGTTTGATATCTCCTTGAAATTGAAGACAGCACTTCTCTGAATTTAATATGTTCTTACAATCACTAATGATGCATTAGGCTGGTGCGACCATAGTTAATAGAGGTGAAGGGTTACAAAGCCCAGCAAACATCAAAGGAGCAAACAAATATGCCAAGATTTATGTTGGAAGATCCATGACTGTGCACAATCTTTTGTTTTACGTTCATACACTATGCATGAGTTATGTAATCAAAACATTTCTATTGGTTAGTTCCTCGGTTAGTAGTACACAACTGTTGGGTTTTGTGCAGTGAAGGCCAAAAAAGAGAGCAGAAACATACAACAAAGAACTCTGTCAAGTTTCATGACCATTCCCCTCTATTAACTATGGTGCGACCAGGAAAAAGGTGCTCATTATAAACAGGAATTGATCTACATTCAAATTATTTGCTTCATGTGTAATTGGACAAATCTCATCTTTGTTCCAAGAAATTGCTGATTTATCCAGTCATCTGTTACATTTGAGCTACTAAACAATAGTCAGCAATAATACAATACTGCAAATGCACTTTTCATGCAAATGTTTTGCTAAATATTAAAGGGATGGTTTTCACACAACCACTGCCAAACAGGAGCAAATTAGGAAAGTGTAACTGGACTTGGCCAAAACAGTTGGTCCTGGATGAGGAACAAGTTGAATGAATTTGGCAAGTGCTCTACATATTTGAATATCTTAAGTCAGTTTTCTTGATGCTCAAACTTAGAACACCAACAACTCAAAGATTTGAAAACCTCAAAATGATATGCAACTTAATTTAAGATGAGCTGAACTGAGGACAAACACCACCCCAAGTGGTACACACAGAGCTTCAGCTGAACACAACCCAGGCACTGTTACCAGCTTGTGTACAGTACTTCACAAGACAAATTATATTGCACCCAATCACAACCATTTTACTGGACTTTAAGTAAGTCAGGGCTGCAGCCAGTATGAGGCACTTGCCTCAATCATTTTTTTCGTGATCTCAGTGTTGCGTTTAATAGAAGTCACGATAAACGCCCTAAATATCTAGGAAGAGAATTAACCCATGGATAATTGCCTCAGTCATATTTTTTTTTTCTGGCTATGGCTATGAAAGTTAAACACTGTGAGGAACATTGACTTGTAAGAAACCTTAAGCTTTGTTATAGAGCACATTTTACACTGTACAATAAAAGGCATCCGCGCCAGTTAAAAGCACAGGAAGCTAACACAGGACGAACGCAATGAAAAACAATACACTTTGTTTGAACAAAGTCTGTGAAATCAAAGCTGTTGTTTACATACAGCATACAAGACGGGAAAACAGCACACCTTCTATCCAGAGATTTTCCGCGTTAGTTTCCAGTTTTGCCTTGATCAATCCAATCGCAGACACGATCAAAAACAGGAAGCCAAATAAAATAACTTTTCCGCAGTGCCTCTGGGTAAACCGTCCAAGTCTTTTAAGAACAGACTGTAACTCAGAGCGCACAAGCAAAGCCGTCCTGTTCCCCCTTGCATGGCCCTGAAAAAAATACGCATCTATCATTATTGCAAGAATTTCAACGGAAAATATTTTTATAGTCCTACCGACCCCTTAGTTCTGTCATTTAAAGTTCCTACTAATCCAAAATTTCGCGATCAATTTAATTCTAGTTCTAACGTAACATCAACGAGATACGACACAGAATTTTGCCACGTTTCCTTTCGCAAAATCCGAACCATGTTATCTCGGCATATTTACGTTAAATTGCTGTCATACCCGAAGATTTTTCGCGAGGTTTTACTGCAAACAATGTTTAAACAGCACGTGCATTTCCCGGACCAGCCCGGACCACCCAACTTCGACAACCTTGCCAAAGTTTTGCTAAACATAACAAGCATTACAACACAGGATGGGCGACGTCTCGCTCGATCAGCGACTTACCATGCAAGATCAGGGCGCTCGAGTCGACATCGAATCTTTTATGCTCCGTCTCGAAATATTTCGGTGTCGCAAGTTTTTAGCGATCACTTTGCAGTCGCTCGAGAGCCTTGCAATGGCCGGAATTCGTAACAGATTTAGCCATGCAAAGCGCTTGCTAGTCGACCCAAGCAAATGATCACCAGTCAAGAATATGATCTCTGTTATTAGACGTCAAAAACAACAGCACAGACGAAGCCGACAACAGAAGTGAAACTATTTCGGCGCCCTTCCAAAAACAAACCATCGGACAGAGTACTTCTTCTGACAAAACAACCAAGGGGGAAATCGAGAGAACGCCATCACGAATAGCAAAAGTTTATATACAGCTATCAAAACACTTGGTGGGCCAAGGACGGAGGTGAAATAAAAAATGTCGAAACCACAGATCTGTTGCATAAGGTCCAAGATAAACTACATGTACCTCACAAGGTGTCATGTTAAAATTTCATACATCGTAATTTGTCCTTTCAAGCGACTGGCGTCCGACAAGACAAATTTCTGTTAAGTCGAATTACAACTTCAAGGTCAAAATGCCTAAAACTTAGTTCCTGACAATCTTCGACCTCCCTCGTCGCAAATCCTTTCAAAAATATCGCCAGCCTGAAAAAAAAAACAACAACAAACGGCACCACCGTACCCCTAGAAGGTGAAACATTTGCGCGATTCGGCCATGTAGGTAACAGAAGCGAATGAGCTTCCAACATCGCATTTCAAGTACTTCACCAGACCTAAAACCGCAATAAATGGGACGTTTTTCGAAAGCATGGAACAGCTCGAGCTGGAATTGATGCGAATTCGAAACGTTGTAATGTAAACAATCTCCCAGACCATGGGCAGCACTTGACAATAAAATTGCGACTAGGCCACAATATGGAATCAAACTGGCCCACTAAATAGCGCTGTATTACTAATCTATCCTCACCTGGTCGATTTCTCGAAGACCCTCATCTGCCCAAGCCAAATTTCTGGACGGAAAAGCGCTCATTTTCGGGTTTGAATCCTGAAGTTGTCGACCACGCGGAGTCAAAACTTGAAACGGTGTGAAAGGTTTTCAAAGCGCGTTCGCCTCAGCGCTCACGGCACAGGAGCCAACGGTTAAATTCTACCCAGAACAGTGTTCCGACCGTCATGAAGAAACCACGAGGCCAAAACATGGCGTAGTAAGGCCATAATCCGTGCTAAGAGCCATTCACTTTGTTCGNATGAGCAATAAACTTGAGCCCCTTTGGGCCACCAGAACTTTGCGAACAACATGAATGATCCAGTCCATTGTCAAAAAAATACCAGTCTACTTGTACACAGTACCTAAGAAATATGCCAGTCAATAGATTTTGATGGTAAAACATTTAGACACATGCTGTTGAACATTTTAATTTGGCTCTCAAAACATTAATAATTATGTTTTTTGAATCAGGAATTCGACATGAATTTGAATTCTTCTGAACTTACGGTATCCAACCCAATATTATCATCCATAGGAGGAAGATCGAGAGTGTAGCAAATATCCTTTAATGTCCAGGTTCTGCAGGAAACAAAACAACACCAGTACATATTATTTATATCAATGTGCCATGGAAAATACAGCCAATCAGAATAGGGGAAAGCCATTGTATATTTGATGGTATTATACCCAAACTTCCCATCAAGCACCATGAGCATGTCCCCTTGATTCTGTTGGCCACGCTATTTTATATGGCATGGTATAAAATTAATAGAAAGGTGAGTGTGTATACCAAGAAAATAAAACTGACAAGTGGGATATTCCATGGTATGCCGCTCAAAAGTGTTGCATAACTAGTGTATACACATACATCTATAAAGGTCGCAATGACCAATAATTGTTCATTGCGACTGATTTACAAACCCAAGTTTGCTAATAGGGCATGACTGATGAACACAATTGTTTATGTTTCCATAACGTTTTGCACCATGACTTTGTTTTGTTTATATAATAGGAGCAAACTTGCGAGCAAAACTCTAAAATAGGCATGGACATAACCCCAACAAAACAAACCGTATGTTCTTGCTAGACTAAACACATAAGGGAAAAGATAAATTGTTTGAGAAACAAAACTGACACAAAGCCTGTATAATACACTAACAGTACAACAGTATCAGAGGGAGTTTTTTTTCTTTTCAGGTCAAAGTTGTGGGGATATTGAGATAACAAAGTTCAAGACATGAAGGAGATATGACAATTTTTTTGTTTTTTTCAATTTGTGGAAACAATTTGGGAGGTCTGTTAAGTCATGAAAAACTGAAAAACTTTCTAACAGCTGCAGCTTGTCTCGAATGACCTGCATAAAATAACAACTCGCAGCTGGTTGACACATGCCCACACATAAATATCCTGTTTATGGAATACAAACCATGTTCAACATATGCCACATAAACAAATTGACTTACTGGTCAAACAAATCTACGGAGACATTTGTGACTTTCATTAAAATGTCCAAGTGCCGCTTCAAGGCTTGTACAGTAAGAATATTTGTTCCTTCTTCATTGGGTGTTTGTATCAGTAGCTCGTTTGTGCCGCCGTAACCTTCTCCAAGCGCTTTTTTGGTATATTCTAGCTCTTTTTCCAGTCGTCCATCCACTAAAATCATGAACAACAGACAGGTTGAAACATTCTGCACTTGCATATAACAACCAAGTTGTATTTATCATCCACATACATGTACACAGACACATGTGCAGGGCTGTAGCTAGTAACAGGTATATGTAAACGTTTACTGAGGCTCTTGTCTCTGTCACTGTTTGCATTTTTCTAGTTTATAGTCATCATAAACACCCTAGTATTAATACCAAGCAAGAGATTTAACCATGGACAATGCCTTGCAGTCATAATTTCTTTCCTGGTCACAGCCCTGCCTGAATAAACAAGATGGTCAAGATGGTACTGCAGATTGTAAGCCCAGTGAATAGATATGAGTCCTTTAAGAAGAAGGGATTACTTCTTAACAAAAGTGTGGATGATCAGGCTACAATGCCACAATTACAGTGCTCTCAGTAACAATTCTTTTGTAGGAATCTCATCAGGGAGACAAATCTGATTCCCATCTCACACCATTTTGCTAGAGTATATAGTCGTTATAAGTAAAAGCTGATGTCGAACCAAACCAAACATTGGATTTTGCCACTTTAATGTTTAAAAGAATAACAACTTTATGTGGTCTGCCACTTTTGGACCTCTTTGAGACCTATCGTCATGTAAAATTGGCAACCTACCAACTTAGATCACTTCAACGTCAAATCTGACATTTTGTTAACTAGATAAACTCTAGAGTTCATAACCGAAGCTGGAGATTATAAATTTGCAAAATTAACTGTCACTCAGATCAAAGTAGCTGACACTGCAAGTATCTGCCCACCTGCTGAGTAGATATCAAGCGTAAATCTGAGGAGACTGTGCTAACAAGTAGTTAACTCCCTTATCCACTCTGACATGGGCCAATAAGTTTCTAAGTGTGGTCACTTTTCTGCTAATGCAGTGCTACAGAATCTTTAGTTACTAATCTCATGATCCGTTTAAGGTACTCGGAAATGTATTGGAAACCTCGGAGTGACTTAATTACCCTAAAGTTTACTCTAACAAACCAACACAAGCAAAAGAAACTGTGTGAGGTCAGCCAGGTCGACTCTATGAAACCACTGGACAATTTTACATCATTTGTGGTCTGTTTGATATCTCCTTGAAATTGAAGACAGCACTTCTCTGAATTTAATATGTTCTTACAATCACTAATGATGCATTAGGCTGGTGCGACCATAGTTAATAGAGGTGAAGGGTTACAAAGCCCAGCAAACATCAAAGGAGCAAACAAATATGCCAAGATTTATGTTGGAAGATCCATGACTGTGCACAATCTTTTGTTTTACGTTCATACACTATGCATGAGTTATGTAATCAAAACATTTCTATTGGTTAGTTCCTCGGTTAGTAGTACACAACTGTTGGGTTTTGTGCAGTGAAGGCCAAAAAAGAGAGCAGAAACATACAACAAAGAACTCTGTCAAGTTTCATGACCATTCCCCTCTATTAACTATGGTGCGACCAGGAAAAAGGTGCTCATTATAAACAGGAATTGATCTACATTCAAATTATTTGCTTCATGTGTAATTGGACAAATCTCATCTTTGTTCCAAGAAATTGCTGATTTATCCAGTCATCTGTTACATTTGAGCTACTAAACAATAGTCAGCAATAATACAATACTGCAAATGCACTTTTCATGCAAATGTTTTGCTAAATATTAAAGGGATGGTTTTCACACAACCACTGCCAAACAGGAGCAAATTAGGAAAGTGTAACTGGACTTGGCCAAAACAGTTGGTCCTGGATGAGGAACAAGTTGAATGAATTTGGCAAGTGCTCTACATATTTGAATATCTTAAGTCAGTTTTCTTGATGCTCAAACTTAGAACACCAACAACTCAAAGATTTGAAAACCTCAAAATGATATGCAACTTAATTTAAGATGAGCTGAACTGAGGACAAACACCACCCCAAGTGGTACACACAGAGCTTCAGCTGAACACAACCCAGGCACTGTTACCAGCTTGTGTACAGTACTTCACAAGACAAATTATATTGCACCCAATCACAACCATTTTACTGGACTTTAAGTAAGTCAGGGCTGCAGCCAGTATGAGGCACTTGCCTCAATCATTTTTTTCGTGATCTCAGTGTTGCGTTTAATAGAAGTCACGATAAACGCCCTAAATATCTAGGAAGAGAATTAACCCATGGATAATTGCCTCAGTCATATTTTTTTTTTCTGGCTATGGCTATGAAAGTTAAACACTGTGAGGAACATTGACTTGTAAGAAACCTTAAGCTTTGTTATAGAGCACATTTTACACTGTACAATAAAAGGCATCCGCGCCAGTTAAAAGCACAGGAAGCTAACACAGGACGAACGCAATGAAAAACAATACACTTTGTTTGAACAAAGTCTGTGAAATCAAAGCTGTTGTTTACATACAGCATACAAGACGGGAAAACAGCACACCTTCTATCCAGAGATTTTCCGCGTTAGTTTCCAGTTTTGCCTTGATCAATCCAATCGCAGACACGATCAAAAACAGGAAGCCAAATAAAATAACTTTTCCGCAGTGCCTCTGGGTAAACCGTCCAAGTCTTTTAAGAACAGACTGTAACTCAGAGCGCACAAGCAAAGCCGTCCTGTTCCCCCTTGCATGGCCCTGAAAAAAATACGCATCTATCATTATTGCAAGAATTTCAACGGAAAATATTTTTATAGTCCTACCGACCCCTTAGTTCTGTCATTTAAAGTTCCTACTAATCCAAAATTTCGCGATCAATTTAATTCTAGTTCTAACGTAACATCAACGAGATACGACACAGAATTTTGCCACGTTTCCTTTCGCAAAATCCGAACCATGTTATCTCGGCATATTTACGTTAAATTGCTGTCATACCCGAAGATTTTTCGCGAGGTTTTACTGCAAACAATGTTTAAACAGCACGTGCATTTCCCGGACCAGCCCGGACCACCCAACTTCGACAACCTTGCCAAAGTTTTGCTAAACATAACAAGCATTACAACACAGGATGGGCGACGTCTCGCTCGATCAGCGACTTACCATGCAAGATCAGGGCGCTCGAGTCGACATCGAATCTTTTATGCTCCGTCTCGAAATATTTCGGTGTCGCAAGTTTTTAGCGATCACTTTGCAGTCGCTCGAGAGCCTTGCAATGGCCGGAATTCGTAACAGATTTAGCCATGCAAAGCGCTTGCTAGTCGACCCAAGCAAATGATCACCAGTCAAGAATATGATCTCTGTTATTAGACGTCAAAAACAACAGCACAGACGAAGCCGACAACAGAAGTGAAACTATTTCGGCGCCCTTCCAAAAACAAACCATCGGACAGAGTACTTCTTCTGACAAAACAACCAAGGGGGAAATCGAGAGAACGCCATCACGAATAGCAAAAGTTTATATACAGCTATCAAAACAATTGGTGGGCCAAGGACGGAGGTGAAATAAAAAATGTCGAAACCACAGATCTGTTGCATAAGGTCCAAGATAAACTACATGTACCTCACAAGGTGTCATGTTAAAATTTCATACATCGTAATTTGTCCTTTCAAGCGACTGGCGTCCGACAAGACAAATTTCTGTTAAGTCGAATTACAACTTCAAGGTCAAAATGCCTAAAACTTAGTTCCTGACAATCTTCGACCTCCCTCGTCGCAAATCCTTTCAAAAATATCGCCAGCCTGAAAAAAAAAACAACAACAAACGGCACCACCGTACCCCTAGAAGGTGAAACATTTGCGCGATTCGGCCATGTAGGTAACAGAAGCGAATGAGCTTCCAACATCGCATTTCAAGTACTTCACCAGACCTAAAACCGCAATAAATGGGACGTTTTTCGAAAGCATGGAACAGCTCGAGCTGGAATTGATGCGAATTCGAAACGTTGTAATGTAAACAATCTCCCAGACCATGGGCAGCACTTGACAATAAAATTGCGACTAGGCCACAATATGGAATCAAACTGGCCCACTAAATAGCGCTGTATTACTAATCTATCCTCACCTGGTCGATTTCTCGAAGACCCTCATCTGCCCAAGCCAAATTTCTGGACGGAAAAGCGCTCATTTTCGGGTTTGAATCCTGAAGTTGTCGACCACGCGGAGTCAAAACTTGAAACGGTGTGAAAGGTTTTCAAAGCGCGTTCGCCTCAGCGCTCACGGCACAGGAGCCAACGGTTAAATTCTACCCAGAACAGTGTTCCGACCGTCATGAAGAAACCACGAGGCCAAAACATGGCGTAGTAAGGCCATAATCCGTGCTAAGAGCCATTCACTTTGTTCGCAACTGTACATTCCCTGAGTTAAATGAAAACCGATATGCCCTTGTCATTCCTACGTGAAAAATAATCCTGGTAGAGCGCTCTTGTTCAACGTCAACCTTAGCGCTGTTCTGATTGGCCGATGCTGTCTATCGGAACAAGTGGTGTCTTCCATTAAGCCACGGGGACCACACAAGCAGGGGAAAGATGCACATTACATGCTATCTTTTATCTCTGCCTGTCCAAATCACAAAAAAACAATGCGTACTAAAAGGTTTGCAGCAAAGAACTCCGGCTAAAGTTGACTTTCAAAATAAATCGCGCTAAATCCCGAACTTATGCGGTGCAAAGATGGATGCACCGTAACAAAGAAGACATGTAGGAATGTTTTTTCATACCACAAAATTTTCAACTCTCGAGTGGTGGTTTGCCCGTTTGAATCGAAAACCCTTCCTGCGGCAGATTTTCATGTTAGAGGTTGCGTCGAAGATTAGCTTCATTGAATAAACAACACAACAAAAGGACAACAAAAAAATTGCAATAAATCGCTTTCTAGCATCTCTCCGCCCGAGTCACGTGTGACAAGCAATTACCATTTCTCCCCCGAACATGGCAATTTCCGGCGCTATCAATAAACGTCAGCTATTTTCTACAGAACAAATTTGACAGAGAGTTAATCGATTCGAGATGATTTTACATTGTTTCTAAAGACCTGCATTGCTCCAGAGCCGCGTGAAGGTATGCAATGGCCGCTTTTAGGATTTATTAACCATTACGGGTCATTTCCGATGCAAAAAGTATCGCTTTGATCTCAAGTTAAATGTTTCTTTGTGTCTCAATTTGACGCCCGGTTGACTTCAAACAAGTTTCCAAAGTGAAGCTTTTTTCCCGTTATCAGTTAAGCCTTTCATTACATTGATTGGGCCACCAGGAAAAACGGCCATTTTAGAACTTAAACAACATTCGCAGACTACATGGCGTCTCGGTAGTTTCCATTTGCAGCCTGTTGAAATTTTGCAGAAGTCCTCTGTTTTTTGTGTTAATATTTTGATTGGAGTTCGGCCTGTGGATTGTAAACAGAACTAGAACACCAGCAGAATTGCTTCTTAAGCCAAGCTATTATCAAAGGTATTAGTTATTTGACTGAACTCCAAAATGAGGAAAAGAACAACAGATTTTCCATTGTGGAGAACCGCTTGTAATGTAAAGATTGTACTTCAAGCGCAAATCCTCTTTGCCGTATTTTGCTGTTCCTCAGTGTAAACGTAACAAAACAATTGTCAAACTTAATTCCAAACATTTTCTCTTTTCCTATAGTTTTAGAGCATTTTCATTCGAGAGGTAAACTCAAATAACTTCAAAAGAAATCACCTGCATTTTCCCGGGGGAAAGTCAGTTGTCACGCAAAGAAGTAACGCAATGACCAGCGGATGTTGAAATTTTGGTAACTCAACTCCGTCTTCAGTAGTTCCGTTCTCCTGCTTTATAGTGAAAGCCTTGAAGACTGCAGAATAGGAACTTTTCTTGCATCAACACTGTTTCTCTTGCTTCAACTGTTGTCACGCAACGCGCTCCTCTACGAAAAGAATCATTGCGTGACGGCGCAACAAGTTCTTGTCGTTGCATGTCAGTTCTCGTCTTGTCTCGTTGTTGGTTGAGTGAAGACCCATTGAATGGATCATGGCCTGCAGAGGCGAAACACAGCTTGGTTCCCGGAATTTAGCCACCAACGAAGCCCTGATGTTTTTTACAAACAAACCACCAAGCTCTCCAGAACCTGAGCAACTTTTAATGTTATTTTTATAAAAATGCTCGGCGTGGGAGAAAGAGTTGAGAAAAGTGCTCATTCGAAAACATTTTTTTCCCTTATAACCTCTACATTGTTACCATCCATGACTATATATAGGGGCTTTTAGCGAGGGAAGCCGGGGCTTCTTTTAATCTTGGGGGATTGTAAACTGGGAAGAACGATGATTGGGATTTTTTCGTGCGTTTTCCGTTCTTTCAAAACAATCATGGACGAGGTATCAGTTACAAGAGGTGGACAAGAAATTATTATCTAACGGATCAGTCTGACGTCGCTGCTGCTCATCGGATATCAGGTTTTTACCGGGTTTTATCACCCTAGCTATTTTTAGCCAAACCCGGTGCAAGCTGCTAGACTCGTTAAAAGTGGACCAGAGAGCAATTTCCTTTGTCATAATTGGGAATGAACGGACCACAACAATGCCATTGTTTTGACCTGTTCAGTTCTCTTCGTACTCGCCTCCTCAATACAACAATTACAAAAAAGAGTGTTTTTCATCGCTTCACATATTTGAAATTCATGTCATCATTTCTACGCATTCCGGATTCTAAATCGGCTCGTATTACTCGGCTACTTTATTCGCTCGCAAACAACTTATTGTAGGCCAAAGTCACGATTTTAAGGCGCAAATTATCAAGGTATTCAAAGCTTTTAAATTTTTGTACACACGATGTCTGAACGCCCGCAAAACGTTATCGCGCTCCAGGGTCTCGACCTGAAATTAAAAATTCTGGCTCCCACGACTTTATTGCCCCAGGGCTAAAATTAAAAAGCTGGCTCCCACGACTTTATTGCCCCAGGGCTTCAAGAAACAAGACCAATTAAACAGAGATAGTAATGTTCGAAAACAGAAACACTTTGGTTTCAGGGCTAACCAAGCAAATTCGACGGGGGTACAGGGCTCTAAGTTGCCGCCCCCTCCCCTCCCCCCTTCCGCCTTTCGAGCCCTTATTAAATAATTTTTCATAATGAAAATAAGATTGTTTAGTTTTCTTCGTGTTTTTATGTTTTTATTGTCATGTCTATAGTTAATATCAGAAGCTGACGCTCGCAGTAAGTATTTCTTTGCTCTAGTCTCCGTCTTTTCTCTCCTGGGCGACACCGAAAAAAGTTCAAAAGGCCAGGAAAAAATAAACAATTCGCTGACAAAAGGAACGCAAAATTCAAATGTTAACAACTTTAAGAAACACAAAAAAGTAGGGTTTTTACAGGCGTTTTTTTTTTGTTTTTGTTTTTGTTTTTTTTAGAGGAGGAAAAGGGGTGGGCATTGAACGGCTAACACGAATAGTCATCTAAGCGGTTAAATTTCTCGTTATGTTGATAACATCATTTCTTTAAGGACAGTGACGGAATTTACCGCCCTCTTGAAGGTTTTTCAAGATGCAATAATGTGTGTCTCGCCTAGTAAAAGGGCCGTTAGTGCGAGACAAAAAAATTCCATCCATTCAACCCTGGCCTTGCTTCGCTGATTAGCAATATAAACCCTTTGAAAGACAATTATATCTTCATCCAATTTGACGATAAGTGAAATATTTCCTCATTTTGCGGTTGGTATTTCAGTTTTATAATTAAGCCAATTTTGAAACCGTACAGCGCTTTGATATTTGTTTAAGATATCATAAATTACGTTTTGTGTATTTCCAGTGTGACACTTTGATCAGATGTACGTGTCTCTCCAAGGAATGCATTTTGAAGCACGACCGCTGAAACAGAGTGCCGCGTTACCGGTATTATTTAAATTTTGTCCCACTAAAAGAAGTTAATGGACGATTCTGTAATTTAGAATTGTACAGAAATGCGCCAGTGCTATAAAGACATCAAATTGATTGTTTAAAATAGCACAAATCAGTTTAATCGTTTAGTGATCTCACAACGCGCGCCAGACGGATTTTGTGCTTTAGTACCCTCTCAAACACGGAGAATTCTGACGCCAGGAAAGATTTTACACTGATTAAGATATTTAAAACAGGTAGAGCATCATAACGCGTGTAAGGTAGGTCACAATCAGTGTAAAATATTTCAAAAACTAAAAGTTTTGCTTTCACGGTATAAATAATTAATTTTTCAACATCAGGAAGGGAAAAAAATAGAAAAATGTCAGATCAGGTCCTCTACAGAAATTTGGCGCAAAACCCCGGGGGAGGACACAGTCGGAAAATGTGGGTGGGAGGGTGCGGTGCCCTTGTTGAAGCCCTGAACCTTCTTCGACCAAAATACAAGCTATTTTTCCCAACTATAACACCCTTTTAACATTTCTGACCAGACGACACTTCACCCGGCAAGGGAGGATTAAAATATGCAGTGAAAAATGCTTTCTAAATTCCAAACAAGTATGCACAGACTATAACCTTTTTCAGATTTGACCCAAACATTCTGAAAATTCGCACCATAGTTCAGACCAGATTGCGCTTCTCGAGGAATGAAGAAAAGTAAAAAAAATAATTGCTTTCGTAAACAATATGCAATTCCCGATGAGAGTGTAAAAACCGTATCCTAACCCTGGCCAAAATGATCCGGTAATTCAAATTACACCAAAGTGGTTCAAGACCCATGTATTACGTGTAGGAAACGGAGCGAATCGAGGTTTGTACGTGTGATGAGAATGAGAATCGAACATTCAGTTTTTTGTTTTGTTTTGGACTATGTTCACAGACCATGCTGAAGAATTTTCTGATCCAATTGAGAAAGCAGAAGCAATTACTTTTTTCTAGTTTTCTTTATATAGTTTTGTTTCTTTCGTAAACAATATGCAATTCCAGATAAGAGCGTAGAAACTGTACTGTAACCCCGTGAGACTAAAATGGTCCCACAATTCAAATTACACCAAAATGGTTCAAGACCCTTGTCTTAAAAGCGAATTGCAATTCATGGTATGTGTACATTCATTTCATTTAAGAATACATTCACAGACCATGCTGAAAAATTTTGTGATCAAATTCGAAAGATGAGCTGTGAAAGCAAAAGCAATCACTTTTTTTAAAAATTTCTTCATATCGGAACACTTTCCTTGAACATCTATTGACTTTGGCTGAGAACTTAGTCAGTTGGTGAAATTTTTTTTTTTTTTTCATGGCCAGGAATCATATCAGGTTTAATAACAAACTGTAAATATTTCTACAACACATTTTCACGGGGATTATAATAAATCACGTAACATCGGATGCTACTCTGATCCAGTAAACTATGTTTATCTCGCCGAAAATTTAAAGGTCAATTGTAGAAAGTGAAACTAAAACCCTCACTTTTGTAACTATTGAAACTTGCCCTCCTGGCCTTAAAGTATTGCTGCCGAGATTGTTAGACAATAGTGCCGTTTTGTTCGCAAAAAAAACAAAATTTCTACACAATTTTAAGCTGAAGACGCGAAGCCAAAAACCAGGAAAGTTGGGATTTTTAACCACCCGTGAACCCGATCGTTTGCGTGCGAGAAAAAACCGCATGTGTTATCGTCACGCGAGAACACGCGGGAATGTGATGTCATTTACACGCAAGTTCGGTGACTTCCGCCAGGTTTCCGCCGTTCTTCGTTTCTTACTCTAAAATGTCTTCGGAATCTGGCCATCTTGATCGTTTCGCGCTAAGGCTTTTTATATCGCGCAAAGGAAGACAGCTTACGTTTTTACCAAAGACACATCATTAAAATGATTGATTTTTCGTTCTTTTCTCAGTGTAAACCATCTTCATAATTACTTTCTAAATTTTTCTACAGCTGCGGTTCTTGGACGAAGAAGAATAAAATGACCTGTCTCTAAATGCTTGATGTAGCTTTACAAGAGCTTGCCAAAATGAAAGTTAATTGCGTTCTCAAATAGTAGTGCTATTAAAGCTGTTTCCATCAACCAGATGACGGATTCATTTTGGACCAAAACTCAGCGTTGAAAACTATAAGATTTACCGGATGACTGTTCAAGGGTCAAGGCAGGAGTATCATAAACCAATGGCGTGTAATGAAGTCATCGGACTCCCTTGCCTATCATTTTTGAGAATCTCCTACGTTCTAAAACCTTGAAGACAGGATTGAGAATACATTCAACGGCGAAAGTAGATCGTTTCTGCATCATTTCTGATGACATGTTCGAAAGCGTGTGCCTGAAATGGACACAACTCATTTCCGCCTGTCCCACCAAACGCGCTGATTTATATGCTCAATCCTGTTTCTTTATCTGATGTCCTCTGTTATTACCTTTGTCTGTGCTTGCTTTGTCTGATCCGATCTCCTATCTGCCGTCGATCTGACATTAAATTTGATTCGTAACATGGTATTCCGCCAAGTCGTCCCGCAACTGCGAGTGTGTGTTCAGCAACCTCGTGACAACTCATTGAATGCTCACCCGGCAGTGTCGATCGCTGAAATCAGGAACGAACTGTTTGCCCGCTAATCGATCATGTATCAGGTTTGTGCGTTCTTCGAGTTTCTGCCCATTGTTTATATCACTCTTCAGTTAAGCAAGCAATGCGGCATTAAGGTCACGGTTCAAGAGCGATAAGGGAACCAAGATCAGCCTTCGGTCAATAAAAACCCATATTTTTCCTCCCGTGTGCAGATACAATGTAAAATTATGTATCGTTAAAAATTGTCAGCTTCACTGCCATTTTGTCGGTTGGGTTGACAAATGCGTTTTTAAGCCGGGTGGGGACATACCATTCCTCTGTCTGGAAAAGTGTCAACCTCGACCCTCGTTACCAACATGGAGTGATTTTCAGGATTTTCTAAAGAAAGTAATGCCTTTTAACTGAAGACTCAATTCCATAAAAGGGTTCAGCCATTATGTCTATTAGTCCGGTGAGGGGAGGGTGGGGGGNAAAAAAAAAAAAAAAAAAAAGCGCAGAGAAATCTTGTAAGCTCTACAAAGGGCAACTGTCCTCTTGTAACGCACTGTACAATATCCTGTCGTCTTTAACACCGTAATTAATGGGTTTATTTTTTCATATAACAAGGGATTCCCCTTTGACCACACTTGCGGACGTACCCCTAAAGTTAACACTAATCTGGCTTTACTAGGTAAATGTTTTTCCATTGAAAAGTAAGCAAAACTCAAACACGCAGTGTTTTCTTTTCTTTTACTTTTTTCAAGCTATACGAGCCGGAGAGAACTCACGGTTCGCTACAATGACGAGTTCCAGATATCTTGTATCTGCTGCTAGTATATCAATAGTACTCCTTTCTCGCTCATTCCAGACAACTCTAAGACAACTGCAATGCGCCTCACGTAAGATCATTGTCCTAAACGACACTCTTCTCTGATGAAGCTTTCGAAATGTGGACTTCAGTAACGAACTGAGAAAAGATAATGAAATTTAAGGCAATGCCTAACTCTACGTGGCCTGCAGAGCAGGCCACACTCTCTAGCTATTCGCCTGTTCTGCAGGCTAAACTCCACGAATCGCGCCATGCTGTTATAACCTGTTTTTCAGGTGTGGCCGGCTCAAAGGAACTTGTTTTTACAAGTTTCATCAGTACAACTAATGACTGTTGTTGCAGTACAGGTAATTAATTTCTGAAAAAAATTCCCGCCTTTTGCGAGGCGTTTTACACTAGAGCGAGCAAACCAGCTGGACCGGTTTACCAACCTGCCTGCTTAATCGACCACCTCTGGGGAACGGCCAACACTCGGAGTACATTAGCAACTGGATAAAGAGAAAGGTATCTTCATAGCCAACTGAGGAAGCCCTGGACAAGTTTTTCGTCAAAAACCCAGCGGAAAACATTTTAAGCCGAACTGCGGAAAACAAATAAACAGGCCCTTGGGATATTATAGACAATTAATTAAGTAGTTTGACGTTTGTAATCAAATTAATCAAGAATAGGTTACACTCGAAAATGATACGCATTCAGAGACGTTGAACTGGTCGGTATTTTGACTTTGAAACTTGAGAACCAGTTTACATTACCGGATATAGGTTTAATCAACCTCTAACACTGAAGAAATTAGGTGTTTTTTTGAAAGTGTATTTCTGACCAAAGTGCATTTCTGACCAAATTTGTGATTTTCCACTTCATGTGCAAAACCTTATCTCAAAAGCCTGTTGAGTTTGTAAAACATAAGAAAAGTCACAGACTTGCTTCACGTACAGTGCTGTAATTCCGTGCAAAATCGATCGGCATTTCCAATATTATACCCGAAGGCAATATCGTGTACTTATTTGGA